TTGTAGAGGGGCCAGAATAGGGGAAGTGTAAGTCCTGGTCCTGCTCGTCCCTTAGTGGCCTTTACTACAGTATCCACCTTAATTGTCAACAAGAAGAGGGAGGCACAGTTTCTTTCTGAATGAGTGGTTCAGAACAATGGGGGGGGGGAATAAGAAGTTGCTGGTGGAATCAAATCCCAGGTGGGCACATCTCTGAGAAGGCACCATTGTCTCATGTGTTGATCAACTCCCTTTTGTATTACTACAACTGCTCTACATTGGGTTGCCCTTGAAGTTCACTCAGAAATTCCAGCTGGTCCAGAATGCAATAGCTTGAATAGATACGAATGTATTGTGAGTTGACTATATAGCACTCTTGAGAGCTGCACTTGTTACCAATCTCCTTCTGCATGCAATTCAAGGTGCTGGCTATCACTTTGGAAGCCCTTCATGCATCAGGATCATCTACTTTTAAAGCCCTTCATGAATATATTCAGGATCATCTACTTCCAGCTGGAAGATTGAGCTCTCTGGATCCCATCCCTTGAGGAATGCCATCTCCTGACATGCCAGAGTCAAAATACCTCTATTGCTGCCTCCCTTCTTTGGACGCGCATTCCCCCTGCCATCAGATAGGATCCAATTCTTCTGAACACAAAGCTGTTTTGGGTTTGAGGGTTGATTTTTTGTTGTTGTTATATTTTTGTATAGTGTTTTAATCTTACTAATGAAGTGGGTCTGTAAGCTGCCCAAAGTCAGGTATATGCTCCTTTTGATTAATGGGGAGCTATACAAACATTTTCAATAAACAAACTAGGCATTTAGTGGTGACTTTTTATAAACTGTTTTTGCAACATTAGATCCTAGGTCAGTGATGGCGAACCTTTTAGAGACCGAGTGCCCAAAAACTGGCTCCACCCCCCATCCCCCACCCCACCTGCCCGCAGGGCCACTCACCGCCTCCAGGGCCCACTGCAGATTGCCCAGGTAGCCCAGCAGCGTCATGGTGGCCACGCCCTCTGCCTGCGCCCTACAGCATCAACTGTGCGGGATGAGGCATGAGGGCAGAGTCTTGTCTACGCTGCCTGGCTGCCATATCCTTGGCTGCGCTGCTCCATGTGGGCAGCTCCACGTGGGGGCGACTCTGCTCCAGGGGGGCTGCTGATGAGGTGGCCGTGGGGGGAGGCGAGGCTGGGGCAATGGCGCATGTGCCCACAGAGACGGCTCCGAGTGCCGCCTCTGGCACATGTGCCATAGGTTCGCCACCACTGCCGTAGGTGATCCATTGCAACCTGTGTCTATGGAGAAGAGCAATGCAGAAAAGATGAACTTACCTATAGAGAAGCTCAGTATCTTTTAATGGACATTGTAATTAAAAGGCTGCTAAATACGTTGGTATTAATTATTCACAATGGCATTTCCAAGCTATTGTTTAATTGCTAAGATTTTAAAGGTAGAATAGCAAAGGTAGAAAGCGTGAGCCATAGAAATGGCTGGACATTTTGAACAGCAAAACTGAGAAATAGTTAGAACTGAAGAAGCTTCTTGGATGAGAAGGGAAACATTTTCAAACAAAAAAAACCAATGAAGTCCAGTTGCCTTTTAGTAGAAGCACCTTAGACAGTCATGACCTGGATAATTGAGAATCTCCATCAGTAGCAAAACTGAGCTGAAGACCTGCAGACATTCCTCAAGAGCCACCGGCATCTCAAACGCAACCAGTTTACTTCTATGTGTGCATCCACGTGTCAGGGTTGAATGCTGAGCCAAGAAGTAGCTTGTCTGGATCTCTTTTCTGTCATTTTCTCAAGACAGATAAATGAATGGTGAATGGTAAAACTGTAATAGTAAATTCTGTGTAAGAACGTTTTTCTGTGTGACGTTTGGGAGCCAGTCCTACGGTGCCTATAAAAGCTTGATCGGGTTGAAAAGGTCACTCTACTTCACCTCCTTGAGTCCCAATTTAGTTTGAGCACTGAATTAGCCTACAATATAATGAATGACTATCAAAGCAGTTAAGGATATTTAGAGGAAGGGATCTGCAACCAGTTTCTGAAATGATTTCTGCCTTCCCTGTCTTTATGGGTATCATTCATTTTAGTGGAAACAGAACGCAAACCAATGAAGGTTAAAAAGAAAAAAAAAGCAAGATTATTACTCTGTAACTTCATTAAGCAATCTTGGGATATTCTGATCTGCTTTAGAAGGCTGTTCTATTGCAACTGGTAGGAAACAGGCACTGTGTTTCAAAAACAGGTATTGTTTCCTTGATTCGGTCTCCTCCAAGCATGCTATGGCCAAACTAATATTGTTGCAAAATGGAAGGATAGCCTCTTGTAAACATGAAGGATAGTTTTGAATGCTGGATGGACCTCTTGTTTTTCTTTTCTGTGTACACTGACTGCCACCCAGACACAGACTGCTTGAAGTACCTAGGTTGCCTGTTTCATTGTCCAGAGGCACTGTTATGCATTGGGATGTCCTTTTTCCATGACCAACCGTAGAGAAGAACTTGGAAACTGTAGCTTTAAAGAAAGAGCAGGCAACACTAATTAGCCAAGTGATGTTTTTTTGGCCTCTAGGGACCATGGGGAGCATGACTGATGATGATGATGATGATGATGATGATGATGATATATCACCAGGAGGAAGAAGGACAAACATTTCTGGCTTATTTTTATAAATTGGTCAATTTATTAAAATGTGGGTTTTATTTTTGTACAACTTCTTTTATTCTGAAACTTAGCAGTTCAGTGGTTCTTGGGGTAGTCTTGGCAGTACAAAATGTCAGTTGGGGCCAGCATGCAGTCTCTGGATTGAGGTTATGCAGACATGCTCTTAACAGGCAACAAGAAAAGTAAGGCTAACTGTTGACATCTTAAATGAACGTTGTGGGCCTTTAAATGGATGCTGTGCTAAGATGGTATAGTGTCTGAGCATTATGGGAATCAAAACTTGAGTGCCTCTGTTGCTTCTTTAAAGGGGAAGAGTCATATTGATGCAGGTTGGAGTGTTGTGTTAAATACTAGAGCATGTGTACCTTTTTCCATTCCTGCCTCTATCTAGGATTTAATATAAGAATAGCGTGACAGATGAAATACCATGTTTGTCTGTAATAGAAGCATTTGAATTAAAAAATTGTGTTAAATTTTGCTCACATGCTCTGCCTTCATATTTTGCTATTTACAGCTTTTAAAAATTCCTTCCGAACTTCAGCTGCGCATTTGTGAGCTTATGCTGATATATTAAAAAGACAGTTATTACAAGCAGAGATGTCTCAGAGCAGACAGAATGATATTTTAAGAAGTCAGATGGGGTCACTTATTTGCAGTTATGATGTTCATCCACACTTATTTGAGCTGGAATCCATTGCCAAAATAGAATTCAACAGCTGATGCAGCTAAAACTTTGAAAATATTCATTCAAAATATGCGAAGCTTTGTATAAAAGCATAGTTACTTTTATTGTTCCAAAGTTTCTCTTTGGGAAGAAATAAAAGTTAAGCAGCCATTTAATCTATCTGTGAAACACTTTAGATTGTTTCGTAAGAATTGGGTTAACTTAACAATGTACAGCATCAAGAGGTTGTGATGTAGTAGATAATCCTAGGTGATGTTAGCCTACACAGTTCATTTTCTGCTCTGAGACAGGCCAGAATGTTGGTTTACCTGGAAGGTAACGAGCATGAAGATCTAACATTTGTGCAGCAGATGTCAGCCCAGTTTTGCAAGTTAGGATCACAGGGCTCCAGGAGAATTTGTTAAAAGCCTATCTGGAGGGCCAAAACTGTATATGAGTAGTGAAAGTGTATACTGTGCCTCAGATAAGGATTTAAATGTGTTTTTAACTCTTCTTCTCATTTCAAATGTACACATTATTTATAAAAGGGCTAAAATCCCATTTTCTTTTATCAGCTTTTGTGTGTGTGTGTGTGTTGTGTTGTGTTGTGTTGATATGCAGTTTCTAGCACCTCCAAAGGAGTCTTTTGCATAGTCCCAACTCAGAATATTGGCATGTGGTTCCTAACTCTGTGACTTGAGAATTCTCACTGTACATTTTTTTCCAATTGCACATTGGTTGAAATTAAATAATTCCTGTTTCTTAGCTGAGTGTGAAGTACAAATTTGCTCTAAAAAAATCAGAAATGTGTCCAAATTTTTCCTGGTTATTGAAAAGCAGAAAAATTAGCCTGAGCAACTTAGAGTGAATTGAAATGCAAATGCAAGAGTACTTAGGTGAGATGGGTGATATAGAAATGTGATGAATAAATGAAGATAAATAAGTGTTACTCCTTGTTATGTTTCTCTGAATTGTAGTATACAGAGATTCCTTTGAATTTGTCAAATGGGAGGCAGGTGTGTGGGTAGAAACTTGATGTCATGGCTATAATTTGTATAGCAGCAACTTAAATAGATTAGGTACATTTCTGCTTCCTAACATTAACATTTTAAGATCCACCTACTTTGAACTATGCAATCACTATATAGTGACTCTTCTGGTCTCTGCCAATAATAGTCAGTAGCAAGGGGCAAATTTTTGTAGTATTTTGACATAGAGCCATGATTTTAAGCAGTACACTAAAGAAAGTGAGACCTGACCCAGAGATGCTGTTATCAATACAACAGTGTGTTCCCGATGTCTCCTTACTTTTCATGAAATAAGAGGTTAAAACAATGTAATGTTAAATCCCTCTATGTAGATTAGACTGACTATTCAACTAGCTTTTTAACACCAAATTGTATACATTGGTTTGTAAACCACCTGGGTTCATACAACAATACTAGATTTAAAATAATGAATAAGCAGTGGTTCAGTCTGTTTTAGCTATAACATTGTATATGAATACAAAAATTGTGATTTGTTTTCCCAGGTTTTAGGGTTTGACATAACCACCTCTGATTTTGGAAAAGTTGGTCAGTTTAAAATCTAGCAGCTTTTATTTAGAGAGGGAGGTGTCACCCAAATCTGCAGAAAGATTGTATTTATAACTTAGCTAATATTGTCCCATTTGTTTTTTACAGAATGCCACCGACAGTTCTTCTAATTCTTCTCAGAAAAGAGAGCAGCCTTTACGAACACTAGCATCTTCTCCATCCTTTGAGCATCAACGAATTTGCACCCGTGGCCACTTTCATGACCAGTTTAGCCCTGAGCATTACCATCTAGAACAAGTGAGCCTATCTTTAGATTTTTTTTCCCTTGCTGTTCCAGAATGGTGATTTTTTTCATACTGGCTTGGCCAGAAAGTCGGGTGACTATCTGCATGTATGAAAGCAGGAGCTCTTTGATAGAGCTCTGTGACAGGAGTTCTACTCTATTGTCTTCCAAGTCATGGTTAGCTGTTTTTTGGGAAATAGCAGAAAATGTATTAGGCCTGGTGTATTGCCTATTTAAAATTTCCAATTAATTATTTTTTTAAAAAAAATAAATTTAATTAAAATGTAACCTATTTAAAAAGAGGCTATCTTTGAAACCGTCTGTTCCCTACCCTGCTCAATATGTATTTAAAAAAACAGCATTGTAATTTTGACTGTATCAGTAATTGAAAATGCATTGGTATTCTCTCCAAATGCTACAGTCATGAGAATGATTTGTCATATAGCTTAGCTTTCTAAGTTCAGAAGGTATAGGCAATCTTGGGGTGCTTGAGGCTTCAGTTAAGGCCATGGTAAATGACTGTGGGAAACTCCAAAACCCCAGCTTGTGTCCTCCTGTGGAGAGGAAGCTTAAAGGCATCCTTTTCAGTATCCTTCCCTACTCTAGAGAGTATCAGTTGAGGAAGGGTACCTTTCTATGGGAATTACAGTTTCATGTTCCACAATAATTTCTGTTGTTGGCTTTTACTGTACATAGAATATTTTTAGTCTTTGTGTTTACTTGTGTCATTATCTGTGCTTGTATCTCTGATAAATCTACTGCTAAATGTCATACCCACCTGCTTGCTTAAAAAATTGCGCTTTCTCAAATCTCTTTCTCTCTCACTTATAGTCAATCTTGCGATCGTGCCGGCATGTCAGCTTCCCCGATGATGATGAGGAGATTGTACGGATTAATCCAAGGGAAAAGAACTGGGTGACAGGTTACGAGGACTACCGTCATACCCCTGTGCGGGGGAAGTACATTGATCCCGATGATGGGGACTCCTATGTGCGGTTTGCCAAAACGGAGGCCTCAAAACATGACTACAATTACCCTTATGTTAGTAACGCTGATTTTGATCGAGGGGATGATGTTAAGGGTGCCGTGATAAAAACTCAGCCACCCAGTTGTAAACAGCGGCGGCGAAAAGAAGATGGGGAAAGGTCACGATGTGTCTATTGTAGAGACATCTTCAACCACGAGGAAAACAGGCGGGGTCAGTGCCAGGATGCTCCAGACCGAGTCCAAAGCTGTATCCGTCGAGTCAGCTGCATGTGGTGTGCAGACAGTATGCTCTATCACTGCATGTCTGATCCAGAAGGAGACTATACAGACCCTTGCTCCTGTGATACCAGCGATGAGAAGTTTTGCCTCCGGTGGTTGGCCCTAATTGCCTTGTCCTTTCTGGCCCCTTGTATGTGCTGTTACCTGCCCCTCCGGGCTTGCTACCACTGTGGGGTGATGTGCAGGTGCTGTGGTGGGAAACACAAAGCAGCTGGATGACAGCGCTCTAAGCTGGTGAAGGCCTGTTTTCTTCCCATTCTTGGTCTGGAGCATTCTCGATTTGTGCCCAACTGAGCCGGCCTTGGGAGCCTGTTGGAATCTAGGAACCAGACGGCTCCTTCTCTTTCCCTCCCACTTGGCTGCTATGCATTGATTGCTCTCGGAGTTCTAACAGACTAATGTACCACATAGACGTTTGTATTATTGACCTGTCATCCAGCAGAAGATCTTCTGTGTGATTATTCCTTCCCTCCTGCAAGGAAAGCGTTTGAGATGGGAATGGTTGAATGGGACGGAATTTGGAACATCTCACGGGAGTAACCTATATTTAGCAAGCTCGTCGCACCCGTGAGAGTATATAACAATGGAGTGAAATCCCACTTTGGATTGTGAGCACCTTGCAGCCAGTTTGAGGGTATGGGTTTTTGTGCATACAGAAGATGTTTATGGGTAATAATTGTACACCACGATAATGTAGGGCCAACAATCGCACAACCTACATTTCCTGAAAAGTTCCATCATGTTTTTTTGGTGGTCTTCTGGGATTTTCTGATTTTTGAGGGTTCAGCTAAAATGTGGGAAATGAGCCTTAGTATTACCTATGTATATTATATGTGAGAATCTAAGAAGTCCTGTGATTTCAGACCAATTTTTATACACAAATTGAAATCTTTATAAATAGGTTTCTCCTCTTCCTCTTTCCCCAGCCACCATCGCCTTTCTCTTCCAAATAGCAGTGGAAAAATTAGCTTTGCATTGATGTTCTTCCCGATAAAAACAGTCTTTACGCTGTGGTGTTCCTATCTGAGGCAAACGGGGAGTTTGCATGTTTGAAATTGACATGTACACTCATGCACTTGTGTACCTTGAAAACAAAAAGAGGGAATGTTGCTTTTAAACTTTGTCTACAGGTCAGTATGCTAAAGATAAGGGAAAGAATCCTCCATCCCCCCCTTTTTGGAATCCAGGGTGGGAGTGCGTCTGGAATTAATCTGAGATCTTATGCTTTCCAGACTAATCCAGAAATATAGGGAAACCTCAATTGCAAGGCATATCATTGGCCAGTGTCTTTGCCTTGAAGGCCTTTGAACCAATGAGGGTGCTTTGAACATTTTCTATCATAGAGTAGGACATAGGACTTCCTGCACCTTTACTTGTTAGATATGGATTTAATAGAGCCAAAGGGCACCGCCGCTATAGCATTTGACAATCACTTAGATATAGGCAGGAACGTGGGTTTGTTTTAATTGTTCAGTTTCTTTCAATGGAAGTGCATTTCTTTCTTTTTCTTTCTTTAAAGAAAAGCCTAAGAGGAATTGACACATACAGTATTGTCCCAATCATGAATCCAGAGATATTGCAGAAATGGGGGGGGTTTAAAAGAAGCATTTACTCATGCTTTTAGTACCAATGTGTGCTGTTAGCTGGTCTCTCCCCCTTTTCTTTACTAACCTGCATGCCTTTGTCCTTAGGTGAAATTGACTGAGAACAGTTTCCCCATCCAGGCAGCATGCATCTTCCATTTCTCAAGTTCCTGTATCTGCACAGTAAACTATACTGTGAATATAAATAATTCCTAGTGACGTCGGGTCAATGTTACTAGTTTCTCTGTTCCCGTTCAGTGACATAATGCCCAGATAGGAAGAAAAGGTAACAAGGCAAATTTGTACCAGGGTGTTTTCAGGTTCTCTGTTATTGGCCTAAACCAACATCCCACCCCCACCCCATCCTCAGCTATCTGCTATCTGCTATGCAGAGAAAAGGATCAACCTGCAGTTGGCATAAGGCCACCCTGTTCTCCACTCTCAAATGCACTGAACCAGCATATTTGGCATCTGCAGAGAACCAGGGTGAATAGTTCAAAACAAATCCCAGGCCCTTCTTATCATCTTGCCCTGAAAGATACTAGGACCCTTCAAATATTTAGTAGCCCTTAAGGTGGGCCCTGCTGGAATCAATAGGCACCCTGACACTGGCAAGCAGTGAATTTCAATATAACTTGGTAGTGTATAAAGCGTGCATGCATTGCAAAACCTGTATCAAACCCACTTCTTTGATTTCTGAGTTGTAAAATACAGCAGGGTGAAGCGATAACCTTAATTTTGTGAGGTTTTTATTTTCTTTTAAAAGTCATGTCTTGTGTACAAGGCTTGTAATTAACTGGGGAAATGATATTTTTCTAATATATGATGTGGAAATAGCAAAGGTTTTATTCAAAGGAATAAAGTGTAGAACAGTTTAGCTATAATATAGCATAGTACAATCTGAATATTCTGAGGCAGCTAGGCGCTGGCTTGTGAGAACAGGCACTGTCGTTCCTGCTTTGGGCAGCTGACTGCCGGGGCACGCGTGACCTTGCCCCTCTCCCACCTCTTCTATTGCACATAGAAAGAAGTCTTAATTAAAAGAAAAGGAAATGGCTTTTCGTTTTTTGCCAAATAGCAACAACCAAGAGTGAACACGCTTGCATTGTTCCATGCGAAAACAGGCCAGCAGCTCCTTCCAGGAGTGTTGTCGCTTTGATCTTGTTTAATTGCATATGCAACAATCTGTGATGTTGTGGCCAAATCCTGCAGCCAGAGCACCCCTGGATATACTCAGGCATTGATTTCACAATCAGAGGACATTTTTTTTTCAGTTTTTGCTGCTCTCTGCTTTGGGCACTTCGTAGAATGCATTGAACCAATCCAGAAAGACATGGGCTGGGATTCAGCACCCTTGCAATGAGCAGCCCTCCTGAACACAACCTCTGCCCCATACTTTTGCCATAACAAGCTACTCTTAAACTCAGGGCACCTCAGGAGAAGTATTAAGGAGAGGCCACACTGGCTTGCAGGTGTCAGTGTGGAAACCAGCCTAAGAAGATCTTGAGTCTGCTTCTCCTTGCATTGCCTTTACAGGCAGGAGCTGATGAAACATAGCCTGCTCCCATGCTGGCTGGGCCTGTATTCCCTCCTGGATATATTGAGGTGATTTGATGCTAAAGCTCCTCCCCCTGTCAATATCGCCCTCCTTTGGAGGGAAGGAATCTGCTTTTTCCCCTTCCAGAGCCCCTAGGGCAGGGCTAGGCAACCTTGGCGCTTTTATGACTCGTGGACTTCAACTCCCAGAATTCCTGAGTCATAAAAGAGCCAAGGTTGCCTAGCCCTGCCCTAGGATTTCTTCTGGCAGCTGAGCAGTGAGTACTTAGCTATAAACTCTCCTATCATGAAGATTAAAGTAAGGACCATGCAAACTCAGATCTTTGACATCATTAGGATTGGATCAATTAGTTTTAGTTCTGTATTTTATTGCGAATCTACCTGATTTTTCATTTTTGGACCCACACCCGAATTGAAATTAAATTACCTTTTGGAATGTGCACTTATGTGAGAATGTTGGCTTGCAGTTCTCCAAACAAAACAAAACAAAAAACACACAGTATCAGGTGTCAGGAGAAAGGTGAGCAAAAAATAATTAGAGTGTAGAATTGCCTTCTGCTGGGAAATATGCTTGCCATTCAGCACAAAAATGGTACAATTGTTGCCTAAAGTTTGTATTCAAAAAGATAAATACAAAAATGGGATAAGCCAGGGTTAAAGCTTGGAAAAATGAGGAATTAAAATTCAACAGTTCTTTCATTCTTAATAGAAAGTAAAAAATCTGAACTGGATAACTTCATCTTTCACATACATAGAGAACCAAGTAATATTTTTTTCTTTGTTTAGCAGATCAGTAAGAATCCGTATAACCTCCTTAACAGGCTAATTTACATCAACTTTTTAAAACAATTCCTCAATTGCAGCCTTCAATTCACTTGTGAGTCAATTAGCTCTAAAATCTCCATTGTTCGTGTTTCAAATTCCAAATCTGAGATTTGTCTGTAACATATAGGCAACATACATAGCAAAAATGAAAATACTGCTGTTAAATATCCTTTTTTGGAAAAGTGCTAAATGGTAAAAGAAGCTCTTCACTTTAGTATTATTATTTTTTAATTGGGGGGAAATTCACGGGATAAATGCATATTTATGTGCCTGACAGCAAATGACATCCCTCTAAAGGGTGACTAACAAACATCAAGCCAGCCTCAAAAATAAAATAATGGAACAACTTTATTATCCTAGCGGTTGTTGCAAAGTTGTCCCAATTTCCTGAATTTCTGTAAGGTCTTTCTCCTCTACAAAGCACAACACTACAGACGATATCTTAAGGATTGTCAAGGTTCCTCATTCAGACGCCCCTATTTATTTCATTAAAGCAGCTAAAATTTTCCACCTTCCTATCTGCTTCCTCCTGTAAATTCCTTCTCCCCATCTCTACCTTGGCTTTCTTTGAATCCTTGGCACTTTGTTTCACATTCCTTCTTTCTCTCTGTGCATTGGAGCGAGAGGTTTGCTTTGGGAAGGAGGCTTCAGAGGGGCATGAGCAGAACTGGGGGGGGGGGAACTGGGGGTGTGTAAATATTTCCCATTGATTTCCACACTGCAGCTGATCAGTATGTGGTTTTCTCCTCCTCTCAGCTTTTCAGTACTGACATTAATCATCTGAGAAATGATTCAGATTTTATTTTTGTATCTGTGGTAACAATCCATTAACGAAAAGGTGGGTTTTTTTCCCTCAGTTGTGATTTTTTTTTTAAGCTATTGCTCACGTTAACAGATTTAAGTGCCTGAAGCAACCTTCCATTATGTATCTGTATACTAAAAGTTAAAAACTCAGTTGTATTGATTTTTATAAGCCTTTTTACCTCTGTGTAAAGAATATATATACAAGTGTATGATGTACATTTTAGTTCTTAACTTCTTTTTTATTGTTTCTAATAAGTATGATCATTGTAGCTATTGCTTTAAAAATGTACCATGTAAATATAAATACATCATATAAAAACAAGTAAGTGTTTTTCATGTTTTGACAAACTGGACACTTTGGGTAATTGATGAGATTCAAGACAAACCTCTGTGGTGTATTTCTGATTTCTAAAATATATACATCAGCATTCCTTTTTTTTACTTTTGTTT